ATCCACATCATTCCAGATGGTGACCATAACACGCTTAACCTCACACATATACACTCTAGAACCAAACGAGAGACCCCTATTCAAGGGAGTTTCGACCCCCATGTGTATATTGATGCCATAGGTGTGCCAAGGGGGGTGCCTAACGAATTTAAAGCAAGAGATGAAGTGGCTGCAGGGTTTGAGTCCCTAATCCCAATGATAACTGCTAACAAGAATGTCAATTGGATTAACTATATCTATTATAATCAGCAACGCTTTGTCAACTACACAAGGGATGCCCTACAGGGCCTGGCAGAGCAACTACAAGCCACTACCCAAATGACATTTCAGAACAGAATGGCCCTAGATATGATTCTAGCCGAAAAAGGGGGAGTATGTAAAATCCTCCCTGAGACCATGACATGCTGCACATACATTCCAGACAACACGGGGCCCAATGGTAAAGTGACTTTGGCCATAGAAAAGCTAGATAGTCTTGCAGACGAATTAAAGAAGAATTCGGGAGCCACTGACATATGGGACAAATGGTTTGGGTGGATGAATGGCTGGCAAAAGACCCTCTTTCAGGTAGGGACAGCTGTTCTCATGGTATTCATTATCTTTTTGTTCCTAGCCTGTTGTATACTCCCCTGTATACAGAAATATCTGCAGAAAGCGGTAGATAAGACTGTAGATAATGTGACCCCTACCTTCATACATCAGGATATCACAGACCTTGAAGATGACACCCCACATACACCCCTACAAACACATCAGTTTAAACAGACAACTGCTTTTTTGTAGGGATAGAGTAGGGAAAGCGTCTGTCTTGACAGGTGAGTCTCACGTGTGGAGATGTAGTGGGTTAGCCACTGCGGGATACCCGCGGAGTGAAGTGTTCGATGCTTGTCAAGGCAGATAGGTTGCGGGCAACTAGGGACATATTAGGGACAGCAGCAGTTGTAATGGTAAATAGCCATTTTAGGGGGGACTGTTGTGGAAATAAGGTCTACACATATTTCCTGGTTAAAGGAAAATGTCTATTTACTCATTTTACAATATATATATATCTCACATATAGAGCTAAGTACACATATTTCAATCAAGATGGCTGCTAGAAGCTTCTAACCCCTCCTTCCCCTCCCTTTTTAAACATCGACTAACTACCTCGTGTAACAAGATGGCGCCGGAAAACCGTGGGAGACCCTCATGGTCCCGGTGACATCACCTGCAGTAGGCAGAGCATTAGAGCAACCACTTAACACCTAACCAATTATTGATGTATTATTCCATGTTATCTCTGACAATGCATATGATGTAATTTTGCTTTAAAAGGGACTTGCCGTCCCCTCTGAATAAATTTTCCTCAAGTTATTCAACAACCTAGAACCTGTGTCTGGTGTGAATTACTTCAGGGAGCGTGCACGCATAGTTTCATTGATTTGGCCAGGGGCAGATACACAAAGAAATAATCAATACTTTAATTGATTTTTCCACTTCACTATTCTTCTGATATTAAAAAACTATGCTAGTGAACATTGTTTGAGACTATGAAACGTTGATCTCCGGTGCCAGCAGGGATCTAAAATGGCTTTGGTGATGATAAAATTCCTTGCTTCCTTGAGCTTCTGGCAAAAATATCTTCCTTGCGAGAAGCTCAAAAAAAGCAAGGTATTTTAGCATCGTACTCCAAGAAATCCTAGTTGGGGATCATACCACCGATGCTGTCATCAGAGAGCAGTGAGTCTGCTCCACACTTGTGAGTATTATTTATAAAAAAAAATGTATGCATAAAATTTTATTATTGAGAGCGCTTTTTGTTTTCTTTCTACCTTCTCCTGAGTTCCTGGACACTACCATTGGTGAGGCAGTTTTCCATCAAATCCTATAAGTATCCATTCAAGCTAGAGCTGGCCATAGCTCTGTGAATAGTGAGTGCGATACCGCTATTTTTCCTACACTTATGTCCACCAGATTTTACATATCGCACTATTGGTTTTCCCTGCTCTTCTCGTTGCTCTTTTATGTGGATATCCAAACTATCTGAAAAGGCTATATCCCCCCAAGTCCCAAGCTACCTCACATCTCATTCAACCGTTATAGCTGCTTCTCCCTCTCCCAGTAGAGGCATCTTTATGTGAGAAGATTGTTGAATGCATCTAAGCAACTTTTCCCCAAAATATTGGCATACAAAAGTAGGAACTTTTCTTATCAATATATTAAAATATTTGTCAATATATTAAATGATATAAAAGTTTATACAAAAATTGCGGCCTAAGGGAGGTGGAGAGTTTACAGCTGTTTTCCTTGCAATCTCACGGTAAATATACAAAACATTGTCTAACTGATTGAAGTTTCAGATAGTGAGGGCCTACCTGGCGTTACTGCCTGAAGGTGTGTTGACACTGGAGATGTATTTTCTCTTGAGAATTTGTTTGACGTAGATTTTTGATCACATCTCTAGCCTCTCTCAATGGAGAAGGACTAGTTTGTATTTAAGGACAGTTCCAGAAATAAAGTAATGGTTGTAATATGCTGGTATGTTTGTGTTTGTGTATAGTTTCTATTCTGTTTTTTTTTTTTATAAATATGACTTGATGATGATCTGATTCATGTCTTGGTTTACTGAATAAAACTACTTATAAACATAAGATAAAATACCTACTGGCATGTAAACTGGGGTAACTGAAAACAAACTAAGAACAAGAGAAAAGGGGTGAAAGTAAATGTAAACTAGTCGACAGTGAAAATGTGCAGTAGACAGTGAAATAATCAGGAATAAGCAAGGGTCATGTTAACAGGGAACTGGATAAATGAATGACTAGCGATCAGACTAACAATGTATTAATCTTCAAACCACAAAAGAGGAAATGGGTTGTTGAAGATTGCTTTATACAGGCCCTAAATATTGCAAGAGAGAGGTCAAGTACATAAATGAGACGAGAGCTACAAAAAAGTAAAGGAGCAACGCATATTACCAATACTTTGAATTGTCAGTCTTAAAGCTAAAATCTTCCAAAGAGGTGAGTAGCTAAAGACAGTGTAGCCAAAAGGAAGGCCAAGGGCCAACTAAATAATAAGGAAAGCCGAGTTTAGGATTTCAGAGGTCGGGAAATATGACAAACAAGTCAACACAGGAGCATTTTATCGGGTCAACATCAAAAATGGCCACTATACCATTAGAACTGATGCTCTATATAAATGAGTGCTGTCAGCCAGTCCTGTGGTTCAGTGCTCTAAGGAATGGTCCTAATGCCCTGATCTAGTGCAATCACATCTAATGATGTACCCGTGCTATGCTTTTTGGGGACAGTTCCTTGGTGTCCCTGATAAAGGGACACCAGGGAATAAACTCGGTATGATGGTGGGGAGATCTGAAATAGCCCCCAAAAATCTTCCAGCCAAATTGCAACCAAATTGTGCTTAGGTGGAGGATTTAAGGTTTAAGTATTATTATAAGGTAAAAGGGTTGGGAGATCTGTTTGGGTAACAAATTCCATTTCCTTTTTGTTTATCAGTGGAATTGGATATATACATGTATTCTTTACCCTATAGGGTTTAATCCACCATTTAGGTGGCTTGCCTACCTTTAGCCCTCTTAGAAAATGTTAAAACTCACCTTATTTCCAGCGCTGTGTGGTCCACTGACACTGGCCCCGCCCCTGATCCGCCTTCTTGGTGGAATCATCAGAATTTCAGCTTTTTGGCAAATCCGTTTTTTAGCCAATCCCATAGGGAAAGCATTGGATTGGCTGAAATCTGCATAGGGGTGGGATGGGGGCGGGGCCAAACCTTGTTTTGGACAATCAGCATCTCCTCGTAGAGATGCATTGAATAAATGCATATCTATGAGGAAAATTCTGCAGTGAATGGTAGTGCTGCCGACTGTGCAGCACTGCCCCAGGAAGCACCTCCAGTAGCCATCTGAGGAGTGGCCACTTGGAGATGTCCCTACAGGGCAATGTAAACACTGTCTTTTCTCTGAAAAGTCAGTGTTTGCATGAAAATGCCTGAAGGAAATGATTATACTCACCAGAAAAACTACATTAAGCTGTAGTTGTTCTGGTGACTATAGTGTCCCTTTAAAGCTGGTGCACATGAATAAACTGTGGTGTTTATTCACTAAATCCCCAAATTGCAAAGAATTAGACTGTAAGCTCTTTTGAGCAGTGTGCTCTGTAACTGTCTTGTTTATTGTTAAACCTCCCCCCCTTTATAATATTATTGAGCACTGCAGTTTCTGGCGCTATATAAATGCCAATAATAATAACTGAATAATAATTAACTGAAAAATTAATTGCAACTTATATGTGGTTATCGACTGGTTTGAGAATTAAAGGGACTCTCCAGTGGCAGGAAAACAGTTTTCCTGGCACTGCAGGTTCACTCTCCCTCCCACCCCCATCCCAAGTTGCTGAAGGGGTTAAAACCCCTTCAGTGACTTACCTGTATCCAGTGCCGATGTCCCTCGGCGCTGGGTCAGGGTCGGCCCACACTCCTCCCCTGCCGTTGTCATCCAGCGGGGGGAGACCTATTGAGCATGCGCGGCCGCCGACGGGGGAGACCTAATGCCGCACATTAGACCTCCCCATAGGAAAGCATTGAAAAATGCTTTAAATGCTTTCCTATGGGGATTTTTTTCGACGTCGGAGGTCCTCACATAGCATGAGAACATCCAGCGACGCTATAGCACACTTTTTGTGTGCTATAAACCCGGAAGTGCCCTCTAGTGGCTGTCTGGTAGACAGCCACTAGAGGTGGAGTTAACCCTGCAAGGTAATTATTGCAGTTTATAAAAAAAACTGCAATAATTACACTTGCAGGGTTAAGGGTAGTGGGAGTTGGCACCCAGACCACTCCAATGGGCAGAAGTGGTCTGGGTGCCTGGAGTGTCCCTTTAATAAATCAACTTGGAATTTGTGAACTTTTAGGAATTTTCAAGTCTTTCTGCCCAAAAGTAAAATGGCTGCCCCGAACGTTATACTACACTTCCTGTTTGAAGTTCGTCCTCCTTTCTCTTACAGCGGAAGTGACCGAGTGCCATGTAATTTCCTGACACTGTAGCCCCAAGAGGCTATAGAGCGGTATTTGTAAGCTCTCCGTTCTCGGGCCCTGAATTTACCGGCAGGAGCCATGTCTGTGGCCGGCCTTAAGAAGCAGTTCTACAAAGCCAGCCAGGTGAGCCAGAACCCTGCGGCCCTCAACGTTCCATAACTGGATACATTTACTTAAACTCTTTCACATCCTGCCCTGTTGCTCCTCCCATCTCACAGACCTCTCCTTACCCCACATCTGGCTTTTAAAAAGGGGGTCTGTGGGGGTTCAGCAGTTGTTTTCGAGGCGAATTTTCGTCTGTGCAAATCGCTTGTTGTGTGAATAGGCTGCCTTTAGGGAAGGGTGGTTGAAATGAGTGCTAGCCTTTGAGGCTAGTGCATTGACAGGATCTGAAGCTGGTGGAGGGTTGCTTGATGGCTACTGGTTGCAGTGGTGGGGCGATCAGAAACAATAGGACTTTACTCTTTGGGGCTTACCTATACTAGCAAAGCTTTGCCTAATGTAATTACTTTTGGAGTCGGGGTCCCTGATAACCCATTGACCATTTTGAGCCAGATTGGCTAGCAATAGTTTGTTGCCTTGCGTTAAACGAGCTATAACCCTATAGATGTATGGACTCTGACCTAATTCCTCTCCGCTGTGTATTTGAGAGGGAAGTACAGAACAGATGTGCTCTGGACATAGCTATGTGATGTTTCAACCTTTGGAAGTAATCATTTATTTGTGGAATGTTTCTAGCATTGCTGTTCCACTACACTTTGGGATTTATTCACTTAATATCACATTTTAGTGAATTGAAAGCTGCACTGCAATATTTAGGGGGGGAAATTGCTTATTTAGAAACATTCTCCAATTTCCCCATGGTTACAGATGCTCTACTTTAGTCCACATTTTGCAATTCAAAGGTTTAAATACTAAATTCCCAATTGTAGCAAACTGAATTCTTAATGGCACAGGGCAGTCTAAAAAATAAATAAATAAATTGTTCTGATTTCAGTTTGCCACAACATAATTGCCTGTGTTTTCCATTGAGGACTAAGATGATATTCTAGGGTTCAAAGATTCCACTAGCCATTGGTGAGTGAAAGTTTAGCCTTGGCAGGTGAACGCATGCCTCTTGGGTATCCCTCTTAGAAAGCAATAATCCCTGCTTTGAGTACAAATCACCTAGAGTCACTCTTGTCTACAAACTCAAATTTAAAGTGTTTTGACAGCAATAAAGTATGCAATTTTTTTTTATTTTATTTTTTTAACTAGAGCACATTCCTTTTATAAGTTATTTTGTGTAAATAAGATACAAGGTTCAACTTCAGGAAGTCTAGGTTCAAGATTTCAAGCGGCTATTTAGTCTTTCAATTTTGGTGTCACCAAGAACCATTGTGGCTCTCATTTCTGGAAGCTGGCACATTGGAATCAGCTTTTTTTTTTTTTTTTTACCTTCTGTAGTGGTTATGGTGTCAGAAGAGCTCTGGCTATTCTTCCAGGGTAAGTAGCTAACGGTAGTACCTATAGCAGGAGAAGGAAGCTTCTGCTCTAAGAGTTTCTGGTAGCTTCAGTGGCTCATTGTTTGACAGCACCATCTGAGCACTCTCAGCCAATGAGCTAAGCCCTACATTGCGGCACTTTTTCTATGGTGGGGCGAGGACTGTACATGACTAGGATCAGGGGCACTATAACATTAGGGATACTGGTTTGTATTTCTAACACTATAGTGTTCTCTTAAAGGACCACTATAGTGCCAGGAAAACATACTCGTTTTCCTGGCACTATAGTGCCCTGAGGGTGCCTCCACCCTCAGGGTCCCCCTCCCGCCGGGCTGGATGGAGAGGAAGGGTTTAAACTTACCTCTTTCTCCAGCGCCGGACAGGGAGCTCTCCTCCTCCTCCTCTTCGGCAGAATGCGCATGCGCGGCAAGAGCTACGCGCGCATTCAGCAAGTCTCATAGGAAAGCATTTACAATGCTTTCCTATGGACGCTGGCGTCTTCTCACAGTGAGAAGCACGCAAGCGCCTCTAGCGGCTGTCAAGAGACAGCCACTAGAGGCTGGATTAACCCTAACATAAACATAGCAGTTTCTCTGAAACTGCTATGTTTATAGAAAAAAAGGGTTAACCCTAGCTGGCCCTGGCACCCAGACCACTTTATTAAGCTGAAGTGGTCTGGGTGTCTATAGTGGTCCTTTAACCCCTTAAGGACACATGACGTGTGACATGTCATGATTCCCTTTTATTCCAGAAGTTTGGTCCTTAAGGGGTTAAAAGACCACTAACTTCACCCAGTCCACTTCATCTCATCGAAGAGTTCTGGGTGCAGTGGTCCTGTCAGTTCAACCCTCCTCTGCAATGTAAAACATTGCTTTAAAAAATTTTTTTTTGAAAAGAAACTGCAATGTTTACATTACAGGGTTAAATCCACTTCTAGTCTTTCTGACCACCAATAGGGGCTCTTCTGCAGTTAAAAACGAGTAAAACGTGACTCAACAACATTGATTCAGTGTTCCTATGAGGAAGCTTGGATGTGTGTGCCTCATGTGAACGCATCAGGTGTTTGCAAGAGATCCTCAATGCTCCTCTGAGACCACGTGGGAGCCAGAGCGCTGGAAAATTGTGGGCAAAACTTTTATTAATTTTATGGGACACATACCTATAACTAAAATGGAACAGGTCTACTAAAGCATTAGGAATATAGGTTTTTATTCTTGACGGTTTAGTGTTCCTTTAAGGGTCTTATCGAGCCTAGCTGTTTACCTTGAAGGGGGTAGGAAACAAAACACACTGTAATTGGTAACACATGTAAACACTGTCCAGTATAGTGATGTCACGTGTGTGCTTACTTAATCTGTAGTTTGACTACAGTAAATATTTTCTCTGCAACAAAGGCAGCACCAATCCACATTTACACTGTTCTTAGTAATGGGTTTAGGGATTTAGTTTTTTCTCTCCTTGTGGGATTAATTTAGTAAAAATGTCTTTTGGCGTGAGCGTTCCTCATTTTTTCTTCTTTTATAAAGTGTGTAAAATGCATTGGATCCACCCAATACATTTTTACTTTCTTCGGGAATAGTATTATCAGGCAACATATTGCACAATGATGGGGGTTGGAAGCAACGGCAAGTAATTCTAAAAAATGTTGGTTTCATTGATTTATATTCAAACATCTGTCGTTGGCTGTTAACCCGCAATATTCCTAGGCTGCAGTATAAAGTATTTGCTGAAGCAACTTCCTGTATTGCAGAATAAATAATACGGTTTTGTTTTTACGGAGTGCTTCTCTGCTCCATTTAGAACTGGGCAACATGGCCTTTGCAATGTTCTCGCAGACGCCATCTCAGAATTATCGCTGCAAATGGGAACAGAGCACCTGGTACTCATCAATCCTGCTCCTGTTGGGTGCCAGATCATATCCTTGCTTACATGGATACTTAAATAGGGACACAAAGTTAATGAGGTGCGTTATATAGTTCATAATGATACACCTGTATGAAATACTTATATAGATTGCGTTAGAATCTCATGGAAATCCCAATGCAATCAAAAGATAGGTATTACTTTTTCTTACGTGCAAAGCTTAAGTTGACCAAAGGTGGAGTTCTACTGCCAACTTATGTCTGTTTCCCATAGCTGTTGGCTTTTTCACAGCTATTATGTTAGATGGCAATCAGTGGGTCTCCCTTTGTAGCGTACCAGTGCTCAGATTGGCAGAGGAACACTGAAGCTGCTTTGTTTTCTGATCAAAAATATGTAAGACGCCCAAACGCCAGACCTAATTATCCATGTAACATTCTGTCACCATATATTTATAAACTATGTATTACTATAATGCACAATAATTCCTGAACGAGAACGCAAAATAAGAATGTAATATTTTGAAATTTCTTGTCCAGCAGTCGATTTCAGGAATATATTTTGCTAAGCCAGATAATTTACTGTAGTCCGTATACATTTTATCCTGGATATTTTAACCACATAAGACTGCTGCTTTCTTTTAGTGGTTAAATGAAATATATTGTGGTAATCTATCGGGAATATTGGCTAATCAAGAGTTTTCCAGGAATTACGAGGGGAATTTGAGACAATACCCATAGTTTTATCGCCACTACAGTCTATTGTAGTAATTGTGGTTCAAGGAGGCTTTGTGTGCCGTCGCACAAGTTTTTATTCAGTTTTCAAGCCAAAAACAATCTCTTCTGGCACCCGAAGCCCAGCCCTACGTCTGCTGGTGAGAAAATGTGGATTATTCATTTTGGTATTAACATTCTAAACAAATCTGTCAATTTCAATGGCGTGATAGATGCAAGCTCTGCTCCTGTAAAATCACTAGTGGCAATAAACCTGTTCATGTGTTAAAATGCTCGCTTTAAATCTTACAGTATAATGTGGATGGAGTGATGATATGGAATGTAGAATTATTATTGGAAAATTCTGTGTGCATAAGTTCCTGCTGGATCATTATTAGGTTTGCACTCTGTTCCCTAGGCTGTGGGTGTGATTGGATTTCACATCTTCCCACATACCAGTCATTCCCCTCTTTAAAGAGACACTCCATGCACCATAATGGCTTATTGTCTAGGTTACGATGCAAGAAGATCCGCTGTCCCTATCTCTCTGCACACAGTTGCTTATATGTGCAGCTGTAAGTCTGCCTTTTCTCAGACTGTAAATACTCCTACTTGTTTGTTGTTGTTTTTTTTTTGGGGGGGTTTTGGGAACACGGATTGCTTCTGATAGAGAGAACTGACATACACTCCTTAATTAGGCTTCTACTGCAAGCTGGGCTTCTGTCAAGTGTCATGGTGGAGCAATGCTTGGCTGTTGTATGGCGATATGGGAGAAGCAAAGTAGACTTGTCTAAGTTATAGAATGTTGGAACATATTGGTAATGCCTTACGTTCCATAACTGGTCAGGTAAAATCCTCGAGTGGAATGTACACACACGCGTTGGTTGAGGCGGACCATGCTAAGGGAATAAAAGGATCCAGAAAGTGTTTTTTTAACTTTGTGGGACTTGTCAATGGAAGGACTGAGGTTCTCAGTAAGGGCCAATTGATGAATGAAGGATGAAAAACTTTGTCCCGGGACAGTTGAAAAAGAAACAAAACATTTTGTTCTTTGATCAACCCATTTCAATCCTGTTGACTGTCCTCGTATGATGCAAAAAAAAAAAAAAGGAAAGACCTCCTGGCAGGAAACATTTATAAGTGATTGACATCAGGTTTCCTGTAGAAAGACAACTTCAGCATTTTACGTGGCCTGGGAAATTCCACCTCTGTCAGCTGGATCTTTAAACAATATCCTAAATGGTTATTCAATAGGGTTCTTACAGTGTTTCCCTATCGTCTTCCTTATTCAGAGGTTCCTAAAGCTAGTAGCTAGTAAACCGAAGAAATAACTATATTGGAATCTGTGCCAGAAGAAAATCCTTCAAGAACCTATTCCAGAATGTTTCTAGTAGGAAATTCAGGTCACTGTTTTCCTGGAACAAAAAAGGTCATGTGTTTTGTGGCAAAAATAAAATTTCCAAGTGGATTCCATTTAATCAGTAACCAAGGTAATCCAAAGAAGAATGGCTCGAAATGATTGATGCTTATCTACGTGTTCGAAAACAGCAGGACATTTGGAATCTTGAGAGTTCTGTCTTCCTCTCCTTGGATCCTTGCAAAGATTGAGGTGGTTATTGCATTGACTCTTCTGTGGATCGAAGTAGTTCCCTATTTTGATTATTGATATTCTACTGCTGTAGTGTAACACACCTAAAATATCCTCTAAGCATCAATAACTTATTTATTTTCAGTAGAAATGCCAAAATGCAGTGTTCCTACTGGCACACATGCAAAACGCTCGTGATAATTTATGCATAACTACCTGAATACTGTTATCTAATCCCTCTACTAACTATCCAATCGTTTCTTTGAGTTAAACCTACCAAGTCTATTTGCAGGTGCATAAGAATGTAAATGTATCTGACTCATTCAATATCATTTTTAACTCGCGACACTCCCTTATTATCTTTTTGCTTTAGTGGATTCCGGTGCTGAATCATGATTGGCATTCCAAGGCGCCATAACTCCTAATGTGTTTGTGAAAACCCTTTGTCCAATTCGAATTTTGTCTTGTAAAATACATGTTGTAGAATAATAATAATAATGAATAAACTATTGTCAAGCCAACACAATCACACGAAAATAATACCACAGGGGACGCAGAAGTCGATAAATGAAGAAAAGGGATTCTAAAAGAACGATTGCGTAATCAAAGCAAATAGAAAATTAGTTAAAGCCCTATGAGAAATACTCTGCTTACATTTTTGGTATAGACAATTGTTACATCTGTGGTTTTAAAAACCTTTTTTTAAAAAGCAAAGAAAGTTGTGGATAAGCTGTAAAATAAGAGCAAAGCACAAGGAACTATTTAAAATAATATAGACTACATGTAAGCACAGTGGTAATGGGAGTGGCTGTTTTTTAGGTGCTGTGAGGACATTCAGAGTATAATTAGTATGTTATGGAATGGTAAAGTGACAAATGAAATGCAAATTTGAGATGTAAGCAAAGTTTTTTTTTTTTTTTTTTTTTTTAATCTCTGAAATGTTTATTTTTTATTTTATATTTTCGTTTTGGCCTTAAGTATCCAATTCCCTTGACATCTCGTCATAATTTTTAGTTTAGTGAATAAACAACTGTTTAAAAAGCAGTTTGGGTGAATGTTCCTAATGTAATACTTTAACATGAAATTATCTTAATCTCTCTCAGCTGGTGAGTGAAAAAGTAGGAGGTGCAGAAGGGACCAAACTGGACGATGATTTCAAAGAAATGGAAAAGGTACTGTTAACACAAATTTTTTTTTTTTTTAAATGGTGGAAGTTCTACATTTTCCCCTCAAACTAATAACTCATTGTTAGGTGTTTTTACTTATGGTTTTTTAATGTACCCTGTTTGTATTTACTTTGCATATTAGGTTTACATTAAAAGTTTTACATGCAAACGGCAAATGCAAAAATATCAATCATATTACACACAATTAAAAATCGATAAGATCTTTCCTGTTTAAAGTTTTTCCGGCACAAGAAAATACAGGTTTTTGTGGTGTTTCAATATCTTGCTGAAGTGGTAACTAGAGTATCCCTTTAAACAAGAACTTTAGAACAGGGATTTAAAGGGTTACTCCATCCACCATGATCACTTCAGTGATTTGAAGTGGTAATGTCAGTATGTGCAGTGTTTCAGCTTGAAACACAGCATATCCGGAGATATTTTTAATTGTGTGCTGGGCGCTGTCTAATATCAATTCTCTGCATATTTCGCGTCTAACACCAGGACTCACTGCACGTTGCCGACAGACGTGATCATCTTCTTCCTTGCCGGTAGAGTGACTGCAAGGAGATTACAATCCTTTCCACCCACATTGCGCTGCCTCTGTTACCTTCAGTGAATCTTTCTTTTTTATTTTAAAAAAAAATAAAAAATGAACCCTCTCTCCCCTTGCCGGCCCGTGTTGCGCGCATGTGCTCTGAGACAGCAAAACAGACAAATCACAGGGGGGGCGTGGAAGTTGCCACTGGGAGCTTTGCTGGGCTGTGGATTACAGGTGAGTAAAACTCTCTCCATAGTGCCCAGTATGGCATTTTACATCAGAAAGACCCACCCCTCATAAAAAGTTGGAGTAACCTTTTAATATTTCTAGTCTTACATTACTAGCCAGGCCCTAAAAGTTACTTGTCACCGCAAGCCTGGAAGGTCCATGGCAAACAGGCCAAGGCTGGGTTTGTGCTTGCCAGGGCAATGACAAGCCTTGATTAATATTATATGGCCATATTTACAATAGCTCTTACACCCTATTCACCCGTGCCACATTTTCATGGGAAATGATGCTGTCAGTGTTTAGCTTGGGATTCTTAACAGACTGTTGTGTTTATGCAGAAAGTGGATGTCACCAGCAAAGCTGTGGCTGATGTATTGGCAAAGACAACAGAGTATCTGCAGCCAAATCCAGGTAAGTGTACATACCATGGCTTCTGATGAATACTATACTACTTTTAATGAGTTCTACTGTACCCACCTTCTACTATATTGTTTAATTTCTTGTATTTGCAGCTCCAGTTTTCCAATTTTTAAATTTCTGTATGGTCTCTCATTTTACGCCTTTTCTCATTCTCAGCATCCCGTGCCAAGTTGTCCATGCTAAACACCGTGTCAAAGATCCGAGGACAAGTGAAAAATCCAGGTTATCCCCAACCTGAGGGTCTCCTTGGAGAAACCATGATCAGATATGGCAAAGAGCTTGGGGACGAATCAAACTTTGGTAAGTACAGGAGCAAAAGCTGTCATTGTATGATATACCAGATATATCATAACCTCGCAAGAAACCAAAAATGGAGCATGGCAAGATGAATACAGTTCTCATGATCTTTTCTACTAAACACCAAGGACCAACAGGCCATGATCTCTTTTCTGTACGTTCCCCCTAACCCCTAGCAGACGTGACGTCAATCAGGGAGAATGGGTGCGTTAGTGAATCTAAGGGCATGGATGGAGAATGGGTGCTCTGCTTTTGGACTGGATGGGGACAACAGACCATCTCCCTAACTGTCTAATTGCATTATCTTAAGTAAATAACATCACTAGATAGTCCAGAGACATAGGAGACTACAATTTATTTATTTTGCTGACCAGAGAAGAGCGAACCATTCAGAGAGGCAACAGCACCTTCATGAATAGCTGTGATTATATGGATTTCAAGAAACCTTAGTCTCAATTGCAGCAAGCCTTCCGGAGACTCACCTAAATTTCTGCAATTTCACAATAGTTCACCTCACTCTCCTAGCTTTCTGTTAGTAAGTTCCAATCGTTATGTTGTAAAGTATATCGTATTTGTATGACTGGGAAGAGACTATAGGTACCCCTTTGGAGATGACCACAGGAAAGCCTAAATTTGAGGAGAGTCTGTAGCAGTAGTTTAAGCAGTACATATTGTTTAGTTAGCATGTTTATATCTCATGCTAAAATTAGTGTAGGACCCACCGATATTGTGGTAGTGATGTAGTGGTGGGCTTAACATGTTATGGCCATATAGTGGAACTGAATCTCCATATTTGTTTGCGAAGATGGGCGATTTTAAGTAGCTTTGTAAAATTTAAAACCGTGTTTTTTGTGTGTGTGTGCACTGTTTCGGAATCAGTATTTTGTAAATATTTTATTTTTATACAGCAGCACCAGTACTGCATGTTCTAGGTGTAGTGAAGTAAAGGATTTCCACTATTGAATGTATGGAGATGAAACACTGACTGTATAGATATATAGATGCACCCGTGCACTGAAACAGACAATCTACACTGTGCTATGCTGTCTGTGCTCACACAATACATCACATGACCATCGAACCAGCACGCAGCATGTACATTTTTTATTTTTAAGTGAAAACTATAAGGGTTTTTCACTAAAGTGTGAATTGATGGTAGTTCCAACTTGTATTCCACAATAATAATACAATTAAATAAAAATCCACATACCTCTTGACTTGTTGCCACAATGGCTTAGAGAGAATTATTAAAATTGTAGTCCAAGAGCTGTAGGGCAAATGTTTAACGAATGTATAAATGAATGAGAGAGAAAATAAAGCTTTCACTTACATGTTGTCACTTATCATGTCTTAAAAGGTGATGCTTTATTGGATGCTGGGGAGTCCATGAAGAGGTTGGCAGAAGTAAAGGATTCTCTGGATATAGAAGTGAAACAAAACTTTCTGGACCCCCTACAAAATCTGTGTGATAAAGATCTGAAGGAGATACAGGTATATAGGAACAACACTGAAATCCAGGTTCTAAAGGGATTTGTTACGGTGTCCTTTTTTTTTTAATGTTGTTCCATAATCCACTCTGTAACTGTTTAAAGGGACATTATAGTCACCAGAACGACTACAGCTTATTATACTAGGTGAGTATAGTCAGTCACTCCAGGCTTTTTCAATGTAATTTTAGTGGTGCTGCCTGCGGTTCAGCACTGACATTCAGTGTCTCCACCTTCTGCATGTATCTCTATGAGGAGATGCTGATTGGCTAGGGTGGTGTTTGACTCCACCTCTGCCCCACCTCCCTGACTATCTCAGCCAATCCAATGCTTTTCCTATGGGAAAGCATTGTATTGGCTGAGATCAATTCTGATGACGTCAGCCAAGGAGGCGGATCAGGGCGGGGAGTTTTCACCCTATTTAAGGGAGTCAAGGGGTGGCTGGGGGGCATTTTGGTGGTTTTAACACTATAGGACCAGTAATACATGTTTGTTCCTGACCCTATACTGATTCTTTAACTTGTAAGCATGATCTCTGAACTGGAAGCACCTCACTGCATTTTTTTTTTCTTCCTCTCAGCACCATTTGAAGAAGATGGAAGGCAGGCGATTAGATTACGATTACAAGAAGAAACGTCAGGGAAAGATCCCGGATGAGGAACTGAGGCAAGCCATGGAAAAATTTGAAGAGTCGAAAGAGGTGGCAGAGACCAGCATGCTTAATCTCCTGGATACTGACGTAAGAAGTAAATATGTATACTTTAGTTACACCTGTTAATTAGAAGTCTTGAAAATTAAAGAGACACAGTTGTCACCAGAACAACTACAGCTCAATGTAGTTGTTTTGATCAGTATAGTCAGTCTCTGCAGGCTTGTTGCAGTAAAACTGTTTTTTCAGAGAAAATGCAGTGCTCACATTACAGCCTGGTGATACCTCCAGTGGCCACTCCTCAGATGGCTGCTAGATGTGCTTCCTGGGGCAGTGCTGCACAGTGTGATTGTCATTCGGTGTCTCCACCCTCTGCATGGAGACACTGAACTTTCCTCAAAGAGATGCATTGATTCAATGTATTTTTATGAGATGTTGATTGGCTGGGGTGACGTTTGGCTCTGCCCCCTCGGCCAGCCTTCTTAGCTGAGATCATCAGAATTGACAATCTCCGTCAATCCAATGCTTTTCTATGGTAAAGAACTGGATTGGCTGATATCATTACTTTTTATGTCAGATCAGGGGCAGAGCCAGCACTAGCAGACTGGAATTAAGGTAAGATTTTACTAAATTTACCATGGGGCCTAGAAAGTATTTTTAACACTATAGGATCAGGGATACATGTTTGTGTTTATGACTCCATATTGTTCCTTTATTATTCGAACAAAATTATATTTCATAAATACAAGTTGCTTCCCACTAGCCAATGGCAAGTGGAAAGTCATCCCTGAGAAGAGAAAATTCACAGATCTATCACTGTCTGGACTGGCAGTTTGAATCCATGAGAGTGTAGAAATATGCCAGCCCTCACCTGCCACAGGCCTAATGCAGCACGTTCTTGAAAGGCTGCAAAGCTATATTAATGTAATAAAAGAACATGCTGCATACCTCCCAGATAGATCTATTTGGCAGGGAGAGATCAATGTCGTCTTAATAAATTTACTTGTAAAGGGACACTATAGCCACCAAAACAACTTTAGCTTAATGAAGCAGTTTTGGTGTATAGATCATGGACCACAATTTGACAGTTGAAGACTGATAAAGTCACCTGATCTATGTTCCTGCTATAACAAAGTCAGAATTTGAGCACTCTCAACCCATGAATGAAACTCTGGTAACAAAATATTTACGCAGAATTAAAAGGACACTCACAATAGTCACCAGACCCACTACATCTTAATATAGTGGATCTGGTGTCTGAAGCCTGTCCCTGTAGTCTTAGCACTGTAAACACTGCTTTTTCAAAGTAAAGGCAATGTTTACATTGGTGCTTGGTAACACCTGTAGTGGCAGCCACTTAGTGGTGCTTTCTGTGTCAATTTTGCACAGTGTCTCCACGCTCTGCATGGATACTCTGAAAGCTTCTGATAGAGATGCATTGATTTAATGTGTCTCTTTGAGGAGATGCTGATTGACACAGCTCAACGTTTTCCAGCGCATGCGCATTAGCCTCCCAATGCTTTCCTCTGGGAAGCATTGGATTGGCTGAGATTTTCAAGATTGATGGTCTCAGCCATGGAGGCAGCGCCAACTGCGGCGAGTTCAGGGCGGCGATGGAGAAAAGATAAGTAGAGGTCCTTTTTTTTTTTTTACTCCATTCTGAGGATGGACGGAATACCTAAGTAGGTAGTCCAGCACTATAGTAATATATGTATTTCTAACACTATTAGTGTACCATTAACATTGGTCAGCCCGGAACACTTAGACTAAATATTTGTGTGTGCAATGTTTCATGCTAAAGCCCTGAATACCCCGGCTTCTTGCACCATGACCACTACAAAACACTTAATTTGGTCATGGTGAACTAGCCCTTTAATCACATCCTGGAGTGTGCGGGGCTGTTTATTGGTGTGGTTTGTTTGTTTTTTCTTTCGGTTCCAGGAAAACCATCAAGGGGAGGATGATTAATCTTATGGAAATATTAAGACCTTGTTCTCACAGCTTTTTAGATGAGGTGGAAAGACTGTTTCATGGGTAAATGCAACTGTAAAATGTATGACTGGAGAAATGGCAGCTAGTCCTTGAAACAGGAGAACAATCTGCATGTAGGTGTTAACTTTCACGCTTTCATCACCTCATTGTGTACAGGAGCTATGCTTGTTTGTCAAAGGAGCAAAACATTACTTATTCTCTGTTGCCAACCCATATTTTTTTTTTTTTTTTTTCTTTTTCATTTCACGACTGGAGTTATTTTAAAATTCTGGACCATGCAAGTCAAAAAAGATAAACAAAGGGGGCGGAGCCAAGCATCCGTACTGAATGGCAGCAACTCTCATGAGCTCACGTGGCCGAGGATACTACCCGTTGCATTCCACAGCCCCACGGAACCCTACCCGCCGACAACACTTACCCTTAACACCCCACGGAGGTGAGCCGGACACCAATGCCATTTCTGTTCCCGCAAACGGGCAGAAAAACCCGGCGGAGATCGGGGGCCTACCTGGAATACAGCACGGCAAGGCCTGCATTAGACCTACTGGCACTGACGGCTGCTTTATCCAGCCCGCTGCTGACCAACGGGTAAACCCCTCACCGGGAATCAAGCAACAAGGGCAGAAGGTCACAGAAACCCCCACAGGGAGCTAACAGGGACTCCCTAGATATCAGCACCATGCTGCAGCGCCCAACGGCCTCCAAAATGGCGAACCCACCTGATGGTGTCAGCAATCTGGAAGACCCAGAGGAGTTATCTGAAGAGATGACAAAACCCCAAGTGCCACACCACCCAACAGCAGAGAGTAGAGAAAACCTAAACCCAGCCACTAAGCAAGATATTGCAGACTTGCTCCAAGAAATGCGGCAGATGCACGCTGCAGATATGGACCTGATCAAAACAGAGGTACAAGCGGTGACCGCACGCACACAGGCCTTGGAGGAAGATATACAAGATCTTCGGAAAGAGGTACAAAGCCTAAAAGAAACGGTCCAACACCTACAAACCTCCCAAACTACCATAACCACCAGAGTAGATCAGGCAGAAGACCACCACAGGCGCGCCAATATCGATGCGAGTGAACTGGCCCATTACCTTAGGCGTCTCTTCAGCACGCTCTTACCGCCCAGGACGTCATCATCCGCTGTCAATCCCTGACCGATAAAGCCTGACTTATGGCAACGGTCAGGGGGAAAACCCTGATCACCTTTGAGGACTCATACCTCTCATTCTACCAAGATCTCACATGGAACACACTCCTATGGCACCGGTCCCTGGGCCCAGTGACAAGGAGACTACAAGAAGCAGATATGGAATATAGATGGACACTACCAAGAGCCCTGATAGTAACCAAGGGGGGCACCACCCATAGACTCTTCTCACTTAACGAGGCGGACTCATTTTTGCAAGCCCTGGGGCTACACTCTCCACCCGCGACCGCGGAGAACCCCTCCACCCCCGCGCTTGTGATCCGGACAGAATAACTCCATTCACCCCCAGGAGTCGGGAGGATAGAGGGGCACCGACTTGATATGACCAGCTCTTATACAAGCATTGTTTTGTTCCACTATGTTTTACCTAAGTTTATAGTAAACCCCACACTAGTTCCGCTTCCAATGCTGCAACCACATGACTGATAACTGACCTTAACGGACTCCTCAACACCTACTGCAGGCTCTATATCACCTGCTGAGGCTGGGAGACAGACTCTCACAACCCATAGTACCCCCTCCTCCCCCCCGTGTCCCCTTAGGTTAGTGGACGTCATCTCACGACCACTAACCACACACACCCATGTCACACTGAGTGCCGTCATCGGCACCCCTACACTCTGAGCGACAGCACACATACCTGGCCCAACAGCACCGTACCCAATACGACTCACCAACACTCGCACCACCTGAACCCAGAGGACGAACCTCACAACATGGGTCCAACCACAGACACCAGAGCATTCACAGACAGGGCAACCAGACACAAATACGGGCCTACCCACTTCTAGGTCGACCTCCCCAGGAGATTACACCAAGGGACACGATCGCAACCCTTAAACCAAACGCACACCCTACCTGGGAGACTGCCACAACACACAAGCGACAAACACAACGTACACACCCTGACACAGGAGCACAGCTGGACCACCGACACATGTTATACTACTCCCTAGTTGACCCAAACATGTCTTAAATAAAAAAGGACAGATGTATATGAATGTCATATGTCACACTTGTTATAGAACCTATGGTAACATTTAAACATTCGATGAAAAACCTGTAATAACATGCTTTATCCTCAATAAAACAAAGGATTATAAAAAAAAAGGATAAATAAAGGAGCCCACGCAAAATGTTTATCATTTAAATACAAAAATATAACAAAATAATGCAGCAAGCAGGAATCTTCCTTTGATCCACATAATCCAGGAATTAAACATTCCACACTGCTTTTGTACACACATTATTGATGACCAAATGCAAAATCCAGATATTGTTTTCAAGATCTGGAATTTGCCAAAAAGGCTTCCAATTTCCCTAAATGTAGTCTGGATTTCATCTTGTCCAGGTGGAACCAAAATATGGAAAACGATTGTCCACCATCTGTCTTTTGGTTGTATTGGGACAATTCTAATAAAAACAAATGCACTGTAAAAATATACGGGTGGTCATGGTGCACACAAGGAAGAGGGGGAAAAAGTCACGTCCTCAAAACTGAATCTGACTGGGTAAAGTCGTGTCAAGCAGTGCTCCTCAAGGCAAACCTAACAGGCCAGGATTTAGGGGTTGAGGAGCACGTTGTCAAAGTGTCATTTTACCTTACACGTCTCTTAAACTTTTGAGTTGTAGGACACGTGCTCTGTGCAATCTCCCATGAAATATGTAGAATACAAAATAAATGTTACCAGCATGATTTGGCAGAGGTTAGTGATAAAATTGTTTAATTTAAAAATGACAAAATATTCTTGGTTAATTACCTATTGGAGGGGGACAGTTACTTTTGTGTAACAATTTTGGATTCTGTGACTATTAAAGTTGCTGTATTGGCATACCAAAATGTTTAGTTTTCAAACCATAACTTTGCAATATTTGTAGTAAAACTGCAAAATAAAATTAGGCATTTAATTACCAAGACTAATCAGTGAATCTACACGGATTAGCCACAACTTTAAAACCACTGCTCGATCAAGTGAATAACATTGATTATATCGTTACAATGGCACCTGTCAAGGGGTGGGATTTATTAGGCAGCTAGTGAACAGTCACTTCTTGAATTTCATGTGTTGGAAGCAGGGAAAATAGGCAACCGAAAAGATCGGAGTGACTTTTTCGAAAGCCAAATAGTGATGGCTACACGACTGGGTCAGAGCACTTCCAAAACGGCAAGTCTGTTAGCAGATCTTTCTTGATGCAATCATGTCTACTAATGTTTTAGTTGCTCATTCAGAAATTCTCCGTTTGAAATAAGTGTTTAAAAACATAAAATTATACATCTATCAGATATTGACTCTGAGACAAGAAAATATACATAATGTGAATTGGAAACATTTTTCTTTTTGCAGGTGGAGCAGGTGAGCCAACTCTCAGCCCTGGTGGAGGCAGCACTTGATTATCACAGACAGGCAGTGCAGATCTTGGATGAATTGTCTGACAAACTGAAGGATAGAATGCGAGAAGCCTCCTCCAAACCAAAGAGAGAATACAAACCTAAGCCGCGAGAGACCTATGATTATTCTGAGAATGAGCATTCCAACGGAGGCTTCTCCTGCAACCCACCCACTAGAACACCAGGTGAGTCTGTCAAGCCGTAACGGGTAAAACTAGTGACTTTGGGATGTCTTCTCAACATGAAAGTGGCCTATGGCATAATTTGAAACAAATACTTTACCTTTTTATTTATTTAGCTTCATCATCATTCCGATCAGATAAGCCAGCCAGGACCTCCAGTAACAGCAGCTCTAGTATGTATTTCCCTTACTTTTCATCCCACCAAGACTACACTTCTCTCCCTCCTTCCAAATTACTATAAACCCTCTACTTTCATGTTTCCATGTGATATTTAGTTTGTGTTTCTCTTTTCAGTTTTATGTCACCAATTCATCGTTTTGATTCTCTGTATCTTGTCTTCTACTCCTTATTTTTATTTTTTATTTCCTCCCCACTGTAGCTCCCCTGGATCAACCATGCTGTAAAGCGTTGTATGATTTTGACCCTGAGAACGATGGCGAACTTGGTTTCCGAGAGGGTGATATCATCACTCTGACTAATCAGATTGATGAGAACTGGTATGAAGGAATGATCAACGGCCAATCAGGATTTTTTCCTCTCAATTATGTGGAGGTTTTGGTTGCGTTACCTCAGTGAGTTTTCTAACTCATGGTTGGGGTTACAATCCAACCTTCTTACTAACACTAAGGACCAAAAGCCGAGATTACAGTTCCCTCTTTTGGGCGTATGTATTAAAGACCAGCTGTTTTTCCTGTACAGTACCTTTTTTTTTTTTTTATGGCTTTCTTGTTCGTGAGCACCAGCTCAATAGTAAATCTCCGTCCTTTTCTTTTTGCTAAAGCATATTTCATAATGACAAACTCTTTCTATTAGGGATTCACTGAATGTGAATGTATGCCATAGAACACTAAATATCCCTAACTGGGTGAATCATATTAACTTCCCAGCAGCTTTGCAAAATTCTATTTCTCTGTCTGGTTCTTGTTTTTTACCCTGGCACACACATTACCCTCTTCAGATATGCTAATAATATCCACTTTGGAAAACTCTTTTTTTTTGCGTATATAAAAAAAAAATATATATATATATTATATAACAGACAACAGTACCATATGTTACTTATCCTTCTGACTGCCAGAGGCATATGCTCTTGCAGCTCAGGTGTTAACCTCCTTTTTCTGTATATAAAATTATGTATCCTTTATATACTTTAGTATCCGTTTCCTATATCTGTTACATCGTAAACTTTTTAACTGTTTTTTGAAACTTGAACTTTTTAAGCTTTTTAGAAGCCAAATGTGCAGTAGTCTTCAGGAGATCATGTCCGATATATTTGTTAGTAGTCGAGCTTTCCTTTACTATATCTGAACCTGGCTGGGCCAGTGTTATAATATCAAAACAAGCCCAGTACCTCCATATTTTTTTCCGTTGGCTCGAAAGCATGTCCACGTAGTCTTGGTTATCTAATACAGTATCTATGCTTTGGTCTTCTAAGTTTAAAATTTGGGATAATAAAAACAATTTTTACAAAAGCAGATAAAGTATTAGTAGCTGAAATGTCCTTTTGTTAAGCACATGAACTATGATTCTTGGACCTGATTCTCCATGTTTAGCGAATACACATTTTGGGTTATGGTTTCTGAATGGCTGCACATGACCAAGAGAAGTTAGTGTTTCTTATAAACATTTGCCTAACTACTTCCTGCACAGTGCGGACAAATAAAATGGCAGAGGCATGTTTCCTTAAGGATTGGGCCATCGTGTCAAAGTTTGTCTAGTGGTGACTAAGCTACAAACTTATTTTTATAAATGTCATACCTTGAGGAGCACTTGGCTGACAAAAAGTGTTTGTTTGTATCAAGAAGTTTTGTTTCAAATATCCTGTATAATCTTATGTTTCTGATATTTTTGTTGAAATTAAAGTTTGTTTCCTTTTCCTTAAATGTGAATTGTTAAAGTAAGATTGCATCAGCAGCAGAGGTTAAAAATACAAGACTGTTTATTAGATCAAAACCCTAACAACTGTGCCTGTGTTTTGCTTTTGTATGGGGATTTAAAGTTCGTGTAAACTCGGTAGTTGTTCTTGCTGATAGTCAGTTGAGTAAAATTACAGTGTTAGACAATCTGGAGTCCTCTTGTAAAAGCATATTTATGTGACTGCTGGGGGTGAGGGGGTCAGGTTAGAAATTCATGTTGAAAAAAAACAAATACCAGCAGGGTTAGTTGAGCAGCATGTAAACTTGGTCCAGAACAGGCCCAAAACCTTGGTCCTTGGGCATTCGACTTGATAGTGAAGCCTGAACGAAAAGGAAAAGTGGGTCAGTCAATCTCTTTTTGGAACAAAATAGTTTATAATAGATTTTTAATACCCCATCCCTATTGACTGCTTTTTAAAAAAAATTAAAGTAACCTGTTCTATTGTGTTTTAAACTAGCATTATGGTAAAGATTTAGCAAAAATTAGAACAGTCATGTATTTTAAGGTCTGTTTACAAAACCATTTTCCCAATTCTTCACATTGAGAAATAAATGACAAAAGTACTGAAGCATTTTTATCTGGAAAATAAAGCCTCTTATTTTACATCTTTCTCGTTATATGCACATAAAGAAGGTTCTAATTGATTCATATGACTGCCATTATTCCATTACAAGTGTTAAACTTATTTTTGTTTTCCTTCTGAAAGCAAACTTGATTGTATTTCATGATTAAAATACCTTTAATTTCTCCAGGTAGGTTTTCTCCTCATTCCACCTGTCCTGAAAGGGAATGAGGTCGGGGGCCACTTTATAGAAATCCACCAACATAATCTACAAAGTAGTATAGCAAATGAATAAAGTGACAGAATGTATACTCAAAACAAACATAACAGTATGGGCAGTGCTTGTAGAGAAGAAAGAACTCTTAACCATTTGAGCCCTTTGGCTGTGGGGGGCCTTTTACAGTTTTGAGAAATATCTGTACCCATTAGCCAGAGGGCTTCCAACAGTAAATTGAAAAGGCTTTCTTCAAAGTTGATAAAGCATGAATGTTGCGGTGAAATCACTAAGGTAAAGTAATTCTAGGAGGAGAGGTAAAATAAAATATGAAAGGGGTGGTAGGTGATCAAAGAGAAAGGTGTAATTGTATTAAAAGCTGATAAATTGAGAGTAGATGCATATTGAAATCACAGAATAGACAGCTCATAGTTTATATAAGGGCTAAATAGTGGTAAAATTATCTCCCTGTCCATGCAACATGGTGTAATGACCAAATTGCCATACAAAGTCCTCACCATCTCATGAAGGATGTCATTGGTCAGAAAGTTGTCTTCAATGTATGTCACGTCCACCTCCATAGGAATTCCATAATCATTTGGCCTGTGCTGGAAAGGGCAGAACAAGGTCAAATCGCTTATTTCCATATTTATCCAGCACCCCTGCAAAATAATATTACTCACTTCAGCTGGTGGCATCACCCAAAATGGACAAATAGACGACTGAATTCCTGGGTTCCCATGGAAGTAAGGCCCTAAAATAAAAAAAAGTTGTGTTTTTGGTTTTCCTCCTTTTCAGTTTATTTTCAAAGTAAATCGAAAATATAGACAAATCTCACCACAGATAAGGCCCAGGCAAGGCTGGAAGCTATTCTCTGTGCCCTGTAGTTTGAGTTGATAATCCATTTGTGCCTCAATGTCCTGCAGTGATGGCATGGCTGGGCTGAAAGGATGACTATGGTACCAACCAACAAGGGACAGACCTCTCAAAAAGAGACTCTGACAAATCTGATGGTGTCAAAATGATGAAAACGTGAGGCAAATAAATACATTTAAAAAAATAAACTTCTCCCCACGAATTAAAAGGGAACTATAGTGTTAGGAATACAGGCTTGCACTCCTAACACTAGAGCTCCCTCTTCCCTCGTGCCCCACTCCCAGGCTAATAAAGGGTCAATCCCCCTCTACCCCCCCCCCCCAATACCTGAACCCAGTGCTGATATCGCTCGGTGCTCTGCCTCTTCCGGCATCATTCGACAGGGGGACCTAATGCGCATGCACAGCAAGTGCATTAGGCCCTCCTCATAAGAAAGCATCAAAACAATGCTCTCCTATGGGGATTTAACGGACGCTGGGCGAAAAAAAAAATCACCTAGCGTGCACAAAGGGCATCTAGAGGCATAGTGCTGCAATGTTTTACACTGTAGGACAAAAACAGGACAGGGACACTGCACCCAGACCACTTCAATAAGATGAAGTGGTCTGTGTACCTTTAAGAAATTGTAGTTTGCCATGAATGCGTGGACATTTTTATTTTTTTTAATTGAAATATCTGAAACCCAGTGTGCTTAGCAAAGCGTGTTACCTCCTCTTCTGTAGTTGCAGCAGTCTCTGTATCTTTTAAACGGGAACGGCAAGGGAAGGCTCGAAGTATAGTCAGCACTGCAAATTGAAAGGTATGATTATATCCCAAAGCCTTCAGTGAGGCATTAGTGACACATAGGACAAAAGAAGAAGGTGTTTACTTTGGTTGTTGGTATCCCACTGTCCCCCCAGGTATCCCACTACCTCGCTTTTTGTTAGGTGACTGTGGAAATCCTAGAATGAAGAGATAGATATAATGAAAAAGTAGTGGACACAGCAGAACACTAAAACAACCATCAAGGGACATGCATAAACCTTTAGACTCACCAGAAGCAGGAGAGAGTTACTGGAGATGGCTACATGAAATGGCTGAAACTTATTAATGGCTGTAAAAGAGGTCACTTCAACAAGGGTGTGAGGGTCTCTGAAACGGCACAAATTATCGACACATTATTACAGCTGGTGAGGGAGAAAGGAAACCGTATTTGGGTAAAAATACCATGTGGACACTAGTGCTCACATTTGGTCCTATTGACTAAGAATAAGAGAATTTAAATTTTAAAGCCAAAACAGACAAACTGGAAAAATTTCTGTCAGCTATGCTTCTAGTTTGGATATTTTGGCCTTATGTTTGTCTTCTACTTTAGTGAATAACCCTGATGTTGTTTAATAAATGGACATAACCTATTCCCCAGTTAGGGGTTATTTTCCAAAAGGTGTTGTAGGTACAACAAGTGAAGAACTCCTGCTAAGGTGTGAAGATATTAACTTCACAATATTCACGTTGCCCACCACACTAATCTTTTACAGAAATATGCATTGGCTCGACTACATGAGACAAGATTTCCATCCCACTTGCTAATGCAGTGAGCTAAATCCGATGAAACATTTTGCATACAAACACAATACAAGGGAATGCAAAAAAGAAAAAAATAGTTGGGAGTTTATATTGAATAGCAAATTTAAGACCAAAATAGCCAAACTGTAAACTTCTCCCAATTTGTGAGGAATAGGAAAGCATTGTATCGGCTGAGATTGTCAATTCTGATGATCTCAGCCAAGGAGGTGGGACAGGGGGTAGAGCCAAACATCACTATGGTCAATCACCACCTGCTCATAGAGATGCATTGAATCAATGCATCTCTATGGGGAAGTTCAAAATCTCCAAGCAGAGCTTGGAGACGCTGAACATCAGTTCTGCACTGCTAGTAGCCGTCTGAGTGACTGCCACAGGAGGTGTCCCTAGGCAGTAATGTAAACAATGCCTTTTCTTTGAAATTGCAGTGTTTACATTAAAAAGCCTGCAGGGACATACTATACTCACCAGCACCGCTACATTAAACTGTAGTTGTTGTGGTAACTATAGTGTCCCTTTAATTTGATTTGTGTTTTTACTTTATCTCGTTTTGTGGTTACTGAAAAACTGTATTGCTCTACCACTTGTATAAGGACAAAGACTATTTCTTATGCAACAATAAAAAATTTAATAATAAGCAGGACATATGGTGAAATATTTTAAATTCGTGTGTAAGGCGAGTTGGCTAACATACATATGTCATCTGTGAATTTTAATACGTGTCCTTCCACATGTTTATAGGCAGAAGCACGCGGATGCATGACGCAGTATTCGTTAAAGCACAATTGGGAATTAATTGACATCTGTATATTTGATAAGAATTTAGCCAGCAAATTGTATGGATAAAATGTTCTTTTAAAATATCTTGTATCTTTTGTATGGCAGTATTCAGAACAATAAATAAACCGAATCTGCATTGTGTTTACTCTTTATTACCTGGTAACTGAATGCTATTGTTTGGCTGTTTCCTGTACATACATCCTGAGCCACAGGGGAATACTTTTTGGGGGGGCATTTGTGAGCTACAAGTGAAACTGAAAATGGACAGCTGTCACTATGCAAAACACATTGTGGCCAAAGGGGACTTTCTGTCGAAGTTACAAAATGTTCAATGGGGTCTCCTGACCAGCATCTGTTCTCTTCTCCTATAGTAATAGCTATCGTGGATTGAGCAATGTTGCGAAATAAGATTGTAATAACAAATTGTTTAACCAGGAAAGTATGTATCCAGGGGATGTTACTATTACCCAATTTATTTGTGCAAACCCCAAGGTTTGAACAGATTCTACCGGTGATGCATTAGCCAACTGAGCTACTGCTATCACACTGACCTTAAGCTGGAGCTCAGCTGAATGAAAGCTAAAGTCCTTAGCATGGGAATAGTTCAATTAAAGTGTCTCCCTAACTAATACGTTTTTCAAAAAGCTTACATCTAAATAACTATCAAAAGAGTCCATAGACTGGGCCTGGAGTGCAACAAATAAAGAGTACGATATGGAAAATATATATCATATGAAACGTAGGAAACACGCAAAGCGAAATCTTATCAGGGCCTCCAAAAATAATGTTTTTAAAAATTGCTCACATCGGTCCCAGGTAGGGTGTGGAATAGAGACAATACTTAAAAGCGGAACAAAAAGCTTATCAGACATGTCAGTTGTGCCGTAGAACAATCAAATGAAAGAGAAAGGATAAAAGCAAAACAAAATGCAAATTCCAACCTTCAAACCCAAATAGCCCAAAACACAGAGATCCTCAGAAAGTCCCATTAACCCATTTCCTCTGAGCTTTGAGGAACAAATTAAGGGAGATTTGCCACATCCCAGATGTGAACAGCAGAATCTAGCGAGAGTTGATAAAATAGAGAAATGCTGCAATCTCAGAGGGTAATGTTAACCACTTAAGGACCAAACTTCTAGAATAAAAGGGAATCATGACATGTCACACGTCATGTGTCCTTAAGGGGTTAAACGATATTGGCTGCTGTCCGTATCCATGTAAAGAGCGTGTGGTGCACCCCAACAATAAGCAATGCCAGAGTCAAGTAGTGGCTTAGTAACCAGACACAGAGAGGATGTTCATTGAACAGTAGAGTAAAATATGTCCTAAAAAAAGAAAAAAAAGAGAGTTGTTGATCTTCAAAGGTTAATGGCAACTTGCCTTTAAGAGCCACTAGCACTCTATGTTTATCCTACAATGCTTCAAAACAGAGAATCACATCTCTGGGGACAGGCTCTGGAGTACGGGGAGATTTGGAGAACCGTTACTCTCCAACTATAGTCAGCCCTTTAACCTGTTTAGGAGGTAAGATTGTAGAGAATAGCCTCTGGGCTAAATAGGGTAGTTCATTCATGCAAATAGATCTCTAAAGTCTGTCTGTGGGCTCTATCATCCGAAGTGTTGACTTTTGAAGCTAGGGCTTTCTGGGAGTCCATTAGTTTCGGTACCTTCACCTCTGAAGCCAAAACCATGCTACTGAATGTAAGAGTTTCCCCCCCAGCTCCCACCCTCTCTGTCAGTGTATGGACCTCTTCTTTAACAATGGCAATATCTGCTTGAAACTGCTTTTTTATATATATTCAGTATGTTCCCTTTAGTAACAAGGATATTGAGGATTTGAAAGGTGGGCCAGAAGTCTGTGCTTCTAGGGATGAAACTTGGCCTCAAATGTATATTCCTCAAAGGACATTGAACTTAAAGGAGCACCTATGCAACTTTAATGCCCTGCCCCATCATGCCAGAAAGGCTTCATTTTCAAAGCTAGGCATACAGTCTCAGCAATATTTAAATAAATTGTATCTTGTAGCCATTTCCTTACTTTCTGTCCCTTCATCTCTCTTTAAGGCAGTTACCAATTTTCCTTCATTCCCTCCTTTAACCCATCTCACCTTTCTTTTGTTATCTTTTCTATTGCTTCCCATCCACTTTTTACTCAGTTCACAAAAATATGCACAGAATTGACGTTATTCAGCATACAACTTGTTTGCAACTCTATTTGGAATACTCCCCCTTCCCCTCTCAATCCTCTGTGTCATTTAAGCCTCTTTGTCATTTCCTTCCTACCTCTGCTCCACCACCTGCAGTGTCCACTTACCCCTGTGAAGATGTAAAGAATTAGCAGATACCTCTAAAATTAGGGGAAATGGTATCTTCTTGTGACATGCCGGCTTTTACGTCCCTTTGGGGACATATGCATGTGCTGTTCCTTTCATTTCTCTCATTCTTTAATGAAAACGATTTACCCGGTTATCTTTCTATAACTGAATTGGTGTCTGAATGTTTGAAGGTGAATTACCTCGCAGAATCCCGGCTCCCTAAAGTAGCATATTTCACAGGAATTCGCATTTCAGATAAACTGCCTCTCTGCGCTGTGTGTAAAACAGAAGAGAACCCACAGCAGTATTTCAAAACATAGATACATGCAAAGTTTAAACGTTAAGAATAGTGCACATACATTGAATACATTTAAGTATTGAAAAGCTGCCGATGCACTAAACATACTAGTAAACATAACTCATTACTTTGAAAAGTAGTAAATGGAATACAAACTATGAAAACACATGGTAACTCCAAGCACCAATAATTACAGTGAATCAACTGTGACTAAAACTACACAGTACTCTTACCCTGTCCATGTTCCACACCACCTTTACCCTGCGGTTTTCGAACGACGGCTTGTTCCATTGTACTCCCTTTCCAGTCTCGTGATTCTTCATCTTCCTCCTCTTCAAGCAGGTCATCTTCCTCTCCCTCACTAAGTGGGCTCTGCTTAGAAGCAGAGAAAAGTAATAAAGAGCTGTGATTTGACAAGGAAGGCAAACCGTGTGATAGTGTAATATGCGTTATAATAACTGACCACTTCAACCGCTGGTCCATGAGGCTGATGCTGTCTTAGCCAAGCAGTCTTGTACTGGTCAAGTTTCTGGCCTTTGTATCGAACGGACGCCCAACCACAGCCAGATTTCTTGGCAGGGTTAACAAGCCTTTTGCAATGTGTAGCCCACGCACTGGGAGAATTGAATGCCTGTCCATTCTCCTGCCATCTGATTTTACCATCCACCAGTAAGTCACCCATGAATTTCTTGCCCTGCGGAAAATAAATAAATAGAATTAATCTTTAAGTTCTAGAGACTTTGGGAATTAAACAATATTCATACACACAGTTTGTGTTAATATCTGCAGGTATCAATCTATGAATATTGTTCACATTATTGTCCGAGGTATGAATTATACATATGTTAGTAAATTTCAGTTTTGTTTCTTTTCTCATTATGGTTGCAATTTCATTATATAATCTGGTGGTTCTGCGGATTGTGTGAGCTAGTTCCACTGTCTGTTTTTTGATTGAAGAAGATACTTAAAAATTCATATATTTAGAATGAGCAGTGGTTGGAATGTTGGTAAAGTCACTATATCGTTTACTACTGTTCTCCAAGTATAAAGTGGATGGACTGTCCTTTCTGGTGGCTTCAAGGTGAGCGGTTCATACTCCCAAAAGATAGAGCATGCCGTAATGGTGATTTTCTGTGTTCCTGCATGAATTTTATTAAACCATTTTCTTGTTTTTTTATGTTCTTATATAAGATCCATTAATATGTATAACGGTTCAAAGTAGATTAAATAGCTTGCTATCTGCAACCGCAGTTAAGTTTGTATCCAGTAGGTGGCAGCAGAGTATAATCAAGCCACACAAATACTGTAAATTATCATTGGAGAAAGTAGCATTAACAGTTAAACAAAGCTGGACAAACACAGATGATATCAGCACAGACAAACATCACATACAAAGTCAGTCAGCTTAAAGGGTATCTGTCATCGGTAATTTCACTTATGCTCCTTTCAAAGAGCATACTATTTCACCTCTACATAGTGCTGGCAGATTTGCTAGAAAATGTTTGATTGGGAGAAAAACCTATTTCAAAATTAAACTGGATTTAAATTTAACTTTAATCTCCCCACAGGCAGTCCTTCTGTTCTCCCAAACATAGCAACTGCAGTGAATGCGCTGCAGTTGCTACAGAAATTCACTAGCCAACGCTGCTAGCGTCATACAGTAGGTCTGCCCTGCTTGGGCAAGCGTCCACAATAAATGCTAATCACAGAAGACCAGAGGAGGAGCAGAGGTCCGGCCGGATGTGGGTGTTCCACAAACTCAGGTCAGCAGCCTTTCAAATATAGACAGGATTAAAAAAAAAAAAAAAGAATTAAATGAATAAATAAAATAAATAAAAAAAAAGGTATTTTTTTTATTGTCAAACATATTTTTGTATAATCAAATGTATATATATATAAAAAAATAAAAATCCATATATGTATGATGGACTTATGGTATTAGCTGCTTAAAAAGAAAAAATGAAATCATAAACACTGTGCATTTGGCTCTTTTAATGTCTCACCAGATAATGTATGGACAGAACCCCCTGCCCAGCCTCTATCAAACCATCCTTCAACAGAACCCGCAGGGTGATGCCCCTTTTGGTCAGGTAGGTGCCGGCCTTTCCTGATGCAACTGTTCTCACAGAACTTTCCACCTCCGGATCTTCCAATTCTTCCTCGTCGTCTTCCAATCCTTCTTCGCCCCAGGGCAACTGCGCCTCCATCTACAAAATGGACCAGAGATTTGTTGATGAGCAAAATTAAACCCAAGACATAAGAGAATATACTTAGCTCAAAAACATCTTGATAACAAGCGTCTTCCGTACACCCAGAGACTGTTCCCTACTCAGCTGTATTGATCAATTAACATTTAAGCATTATTAGAGTCAATTTTGTCCAATCTGGATGACAACGATTGGGGGAGGGTGCTGGGGGTGGATTACTTCAGTAATTTCAGCCAATCACTTCTATTAACACTTTCACATAATCTGGGTCATTGTCAATGACATGGATAACGTTAAAGTGACACTCTAGACCCCTTAAGTACTTTAGCTTGCATAAGTCTTTAAGGCGTAAAAAGCATGGCAAGCAAGAGGGGAGGGCTTGCAAAGGCTGCAGATAAGAGATCTGCAGCTTCTGCAGGATTTTATTTTATTTTTTTAAAAGATATACCTGCAATTAAAAAATAGCTTAATTAATTGAAAATAATGCATTAAGCGGCATTGGGATGTGTCTGGGAAGTCAGTGGAGGTGGTCATAGGCAGCAGTGTAAAAACAGGCTATACTGATCAGAACCCCTACATTAAAGGGACACTATAGTCACCAGAACAACTACAGCTTAATGTATGGTGTATATGGCCTGTCCTTACAGGCTTTTTAATGAGAAAAGGCAGTGTTTACATTACTGCCTAGGAACATTCATGCATGGAAATGCATCTCTATGAGGAGATGCTGATTGGCCCAGCGCAATGTTTGCGGTGCATGCGCCATAGCCTCCCAATGCGAGATTATTAAGTTTAAGGACTTACCTATTCACTAAAAAGAAAGGACCTAAACAGTTATTTTATCACTAATACATGTTAGTGTTCCTTTAAGCTATAGTGCTGCTGGTGAAAATAGCATTCCTTTATAATAACAATACAGTGTTAGGAATACAAAACTGTACTTCTAACACAATAGTGTCTCTCTGCCCCACCCAATGACAGTGAAAGGGTAAAAAAAATTAAAAAAAATAAAAAAAATCCCTTACCTGATTCTAGCACGGAGGTCCCTCAGCACTAGACCTACTTCAATGTGGTCTGTGAACCTAATGTGCTTGCTTTCCTGTGGGGAGTGCGTCATTCCATGAAACTGCAGGAAGCACCTCTAGTGGCTAACTGGTAGACAGCACTAGAGGTCGTCAACCCTGAAATGTAAGAATTACAGTTTCTCTAAAAACTGCAATGCTTTCACTTGCAGGGTTAAGGCGATTGGGACACTGCACCCAGACCACTTCAATAAGATGAAGTGGTCTGGGTGCCTATAGTTTCTCTTTAAGATCCCACAAGGACCTAGGCATGTTACTGGGTTGGGCCCCACACTCAATTTTCACAAGGAGATCGAGGATGGGACCAGCAGCCATTTATAACCCATGGACCCTTGGCGAATGTCTAAGGTCACCTTATGGTTAATGCTGCTTAGTAGGAGATAAGAACTTCTGTGCTGTAAGATCTGATTGAAAATTTTACTTTATTTTTCCATGGATACAGTTAGTTAGTCATGGGAGGTGAAGCTAGGGCTGCATAAACAAAAACAAAAAGTGCTATTTAACTCTTAAACGGCAGAGAATTGAGACCGCAGTGGCATAAACTGTACACCATAACGGCTTAATTAAGCTAAAGTTGTGTTGGTACCTACAGTATTCCTTTAATCCTTAAGGTAAAACGACACCCAAGAGCTCCTTGCACCATAACAACGTGATTGCAATTAAGTTGTTATGGTGCCTGCAGTGTCCATTTAAGAACTGCATTCCGCTTAGTTCAGGCCTGAAATCAGTAGCACACTTACAGGTGACTTGATGCTCTAAGCAATATAAGCAGTACGGTCTGGTTGTGAAGAATTAACAGAATGAGGAAGCGATAAAATGGGACATAGGTTATGTTATGCATACAGAGAAATGTGACATAAGAGTGACAGACAATAAGCAGAATTGCAGTTTGCATATAGGATCTTAGATCAATGGCAGTCTGTTAGATTATACATGCATATAATCATTTATATTACATTATCAGCCCAGACCATGGTAATTTAGAAACTAATGTATTCAGCGTTTTACATTCCATCTGATCACATAAGATTAGTAAATCACTGTGAGAAGGTAAATAAATTGTATTTTTGACCAACAGTAGGAACAATGACATTGGATGAATGTCCAGAAGCTTACTGAAAGCTACATCTGATTTACCTATGGGGACAGACTGCACATTTAAACACCACTGAGGAAGACTTTGAGTTTTTTTTTAAAATGAATATTACTATACTTACAGCAATCATCTGCCAACAGATATATAACTAATAGACTGCCCACATTATTCCCCATTGTAAACATGTCCCATTGTCTCCTTCCTCTTCACCCCCACCCTCCCATATCGCCCCCTCCCCGCCCTGTGGACTACCCTTCTCCAAACACCCAAACCTTTCCTCCTCTCTGTCCAAAGCCCACCCCCATCACCCCTATCCAGGCCCTTTCCTCCTCTCTGTCTAAAGCCCACCCCCATCACCCCTATCCAGGCCCTTTCCTCCTCTCTGTCCAAAGCCCACCCCCATCACCCCTATCCAGGCCCTTTCCTCCTCTCTGTCTAAAGCCCACCCCCATCACCCCTATCCAGGCCCTTTCCTCCTCTCTGTCTAAAGCCCACCCCCATCACCCCTATCCAGGCCCTTTCCTCCTCTCTGTCCAAAGCCCACCCCCATCACCCCTATCCAGGCCCTTTCCTCCTCTCTGTCTAAAGCCCACCCCCATCACCCCTATCCAGGCCCTTTCCTCCTCTCTGTCTAAAGCCCACCCCCATCACCCCTATCCAGGCCCTTTCCTCCTCTCTGTCCACCCACCCCCATCACCCCTATCCAGGCCCTTTCCTCCTCTCTGTCCAAAGCCCACCCCCATCACCCCTATCCAGGCCCTTTCCTCCTCTCTGTCTAAAGCCCACCCCCATCACCCCTATCCAGGCCCTTTCCTACCTTTCTTCTTCCGCCCTTTTCTCCCTCTAATCTCAGGCTTGGAGCAATGTCAGTAATAAACACATGACAGCATGGACACACAATGATAGTACATTATCCGAGAATATATCGCTGGTACCTCGGTCCCCGCCCTCTGAGATTATGGGGTTAATATGGTTTAGCTGGCGGTGTCTGCAGGGTGCTGCAGTGAGTTCGAAACACATGAGTTATAATGTAACGATAAAACAATAGAGGAGCCTTGTTCTTATCGCTGGCTTTTAATACTGCTTGGAATGGAGGCACATAGCGGCCGTGGCAGGTATCAGGGAGGACATTAGAACTCAGCACAGGATGGAATCCTGAGAAATAACTGTAACCATTCTCAGAACCTGCCTTATCAGAACCTGTGTTATCTACATTGTGCTATCAGAACCTGCCTTATCAGTACCAGTGTTATCAGAACCGGCCTTATCACAATCTGTGTTATCTAAATTGTGCTATCAGAATCGGCCTCATCACAATCTGTGTTATCAGAACCGGCCTCATCACAATCTGTGTTATCAGAACCTGTGTTATCTACATTGTGCTATCAGAACCTGCCTTATCACAATCTGTGTTATCAGAACCTGCCTTATCACAATCTGTGTTATCTAAATTGTGCTATCAGAACCGGCCTCATCACAATCTGTGTTATCAGAACCGGCCTCATCACAATCTGTGTTATCAGAACCAGCCTTATCACAATCTGTGTTATCAGAACCTGCCTAAATACAATCTGTGTTATCTAAATTGTGCTATCAAAACCTGTGTTATCAGAACCGGCCTCATCACAATCTGTGTTATCAGAACCTGCCTTATCACAATCTGTGTTATCTAAATTGTGGAAAACAGCGAATAGATTGAGCCAAGTTAGATACACAAAGAAAGTGGGGGGTAACCCCAAATAAAGAATAAAGAGAACAAGATGAAGTGTATCTAATTCATGATGCAAAATAAAAGCATCACCGAAATTCAAGATAGCCAACAATTAGCCTACTATGAAGGCCAGATAAAGCCACTAAAAACAAAAATAATAAAAGTTTATTGATTGAAACAAATAAATGACCCAAATACGTGCTACCATATAAACACCAAAAATCTAAAATAATTGCTAGACAGATCTATCAGGAAAAAAGTAGATCGTCTAGAACGAATGAAATAAAATTATATATAATCGCAGATCAAAATATGATAACAATTACTGTCAGTTATGGCTGGTGATATGCCAGCCTAGAGAGGCAAAATGCCAATCCGATGAATCGGTAAGTATATTAGAACTGGCACTTTAAACCTCCATAATAGAATGATGGACCATATATATGTCTTGTCCAAAGTATAAATCAATATGGAGGATAGTTAGTTGCTCATGGTGATAAAAAATATATACTGAGCCAAAACATCTGTCTAATGATAAGAAAATCGATTATAAAGTCTGTCACTTTAAAAATCAAAGCCGTGATCATGGACTGTATGGGTCTTCTGAATAACTAAAAATTATTGGTGGATATCAAATCTCCATAGATCACAGCAAACTGGGGAAAAAGATTGGATCAGTATGAAACTGATAAACTAGCAGGTCTTAGAGTAGAAAAACGATAATCTACACGGAGAAATTCTGCTAGTAGGCTAAATAGACAGAGTGTATATATAGATAAACCACAGCATGTATACACTGAGCCGACAGTAAAGCAGTCATAAAGATGCCTGGGAGGAACAGGATAGGGGAGAGATACACATATATAAATAGGGTTATAATAGAAAGAGTTACAAAATATCTGTTTGATAGCACACAATGTGTATAGAAAGTTGTTAACAATATGAGAGAGAAAAACGTCTGAATGATACCCTCTATGAATATGTGACCCGTGCCTTCGAGGGCACCTAGCTCCAACCCCCCAGAGAACCAATAAATAAATAAATCATGAAGGTGAGATCTGCAAAAATTAAGTATAATAAATGAAAATATAAGAAATGAGCAGCGTGGTCGCCAGTCTGTGTGCTGCACTAAAGATCCAACACGTGCAGCATACCACAATCCTCTTCATCTTGTTCTCTTTATCTAAATTGTGCCATCAGAACCTGTGTTATCAGAACCGGCCTCATCACAATCTGTGTTATCAGAACCAGCCTTATCACAACCTGTGTTATCAGAACCAGCCTTATCACAACCTGTGTTATCAGAACCGGCCTCATCACAATCTGTGTTATCAGAACTGGCCTTATTACAATCTGTGTTATCAGAACCAGCCTTATCACAACCTGTGTTATCAGAACCAGCCTTATCACAACCTGTGTTATCAGAACCAGCCTTATCACAACCTGTGTTATCAGAACCTGCCTTATCACAATATGTGTTATCAGAACCTGCCTTATCAGAACCTGTGGATTTTCTCCGCTGCCTGAACTGTTAAGGCCCGTGGAGTAGACTATCGGTATGGGATGCTTGCTTCTTTTAGCCTCCGGGTTATAGGCAGCAAGGTTTGGCGCCATTGCAGTGTAGAGCGGGTAAGATCCTGGTAGAAAGTCAGTTGATGAGACTCAAATGCCAGGGGTGTTTAATCCCTCAGAGCGTTCATGACTGTTTGCTTGTTGGCAAAGGATTGAAATATCATAATAATATCTCTGGGGGAGGCCACGGACGCTCTTGGCGACTTTGCTAACCGGTACACGCCATCCAGGACTATCGACTTTGCCTGTCTGGCAGGTAGTACTGTAGCTAGCAATCTTTGGAGCAGGTGAGGAAGCTCTTCATAGGTCGCCGTGTCTGATACCCCTCTAATCTTCAGGTTCTCTCGTCGTCCCCATCATCGATGGTGTCTACCCTGTGGTTAGTAGTAGCTTGTGAGGACTGCATTGCACGCATCGTCTCCTCGAGGGAAGAGGGGCCCTGCTTGAGGTTCGTCACATTGTCTTCAGTGACTCGTACCCTCTCCGTGACTGCCTGCACCTCTTCTTTCACCAGCGCTATATCTGCATCAAACAGTTTGCATATGCGATCGTACAAATCAGCGATATCTTGTTTGGTGGAGGGTGTGGAGGCTGGCGTTGCTGCGGGTGCACTGGAGCTTGATGGAGTGGGTTTGGTAGACCTAGCTCGGGATGTGCTGACTGTCTGTTGAGGCCTCTCTGTCCGCCCGTTCCAGGGCTTTCAGGATCGGGGTGCCCATTAATAGTTGGCTGAGGTCTCTCGTCCCGTGTGTTGCTGTGAGTCTTTGGCGTGCGACCCATCTCCGGTGAAATATGTCCAGTGTCCGGAGGAGGAGAGTATTGAGCCCAATCAGCTAGGGTCCCCGCATGCCCTGCAGGAAACCACAGGTCGCTGGGCCTGTATGTCCGCCGTTTCTTGAGGGTCGATTTGGAATGCGATCCACAAAAGAATGGCATGTATATGTTCCATGACTTGTCACCCAGGCTGATATTTGTGGAGGTCGATGGAGCGTGGTTTAGCCGATATTTGTTTGATTTAGATTTTCGGGCCTGGAGCTATGTGGAATGGCATCTGCTCCATCTGGCTGCTTGGGCTCCCTCCCCCGGTTCTGCTATTTTGATCTAGAATTTTAAAAATGCTTTGAATTCACTATGGGGTTTATTTACTTAACTCTAAATTGTAGTTTATGAAATGGTAACATTCACATTAAAATGATATTCCACCATTCATAGTTAAAAGGACACTATAGGCACCCAGACTACTTCAGCTCATTGAAGTGGTGTGGATACAATGTCCCTGTCCCCCTTAGTCCTGCAATGTAAAACATTACAGTTTTTGAGGAACTGCAATAAATACATTGCAGGATTAAGACTGCCTCTAGACAGCCACTAGAGGCGCTTCAGGGATTTTACCAGACTCCAGGTCGCCTAACCGATGCTGGACATCCAGCGTCAGATAAACCCCCATAGGAAAGCCTTGATTTAAGGCTTTCCTTTGGGGAGGGCCTAATGTGTTCGCCTCGCATGTGCATTAGCCCCCGTCTGTGTATTCGGAGAAGGCAGAGGGACGATAAAGCGCCAAGTGAGATCAGCACTGGAATTGTGTAAGTAAACAGTTGTAAAGTATTTTTTACCCCTTTATCTAATGGGGCGGGGAGGTTTTCAGAGAGCTCTCTAGTGTTAGAAATACTTGTCTGTATTTCTCACAATAGATATTCCCTTTAAGTAAATAAACACCTTTTGAATTATGATGAAAAATAACAATGTGTATCTTGGACAGAGATACGTTTGCCATCCTCTTAGTCTGCCATGCCAATGTAAGCATATGCACAATATGGCATGTATAAGAATAACAGCTCATAGTTACAAAGAGCAAATAGTAACAAACTCAGTGTTGGTAACAATAATGTGTAATTACTAGCAAACAGATTTATCCTCCTTGCTACCCAAGTCTAGTTTCCACTAGAGTCTTTAGGGTGCGGAGGGGGAGCAGAATATTAGTAAATATTAATTACATCGATAATTGTAATTAAATGAAATATTTATTTCCCCTCCCTTTTGTTACATGTGACCAAGGGAGAGGATGCATCCGAGTGAATCAATGGCCTTTGTGCACTCTCTGGTTGAAGCAGGCCATGTTTCTCCAGTTACCGTTGACATTACTCAGAACGTTATTCTGCTCCAGCAGTAGGTGCAGACTCGATGCTCCCTGAACTTCTCCCCATATATTTGCGCTCGGCCAGTGTGGGAGATCTTTGATTTCTCCAGCCCACCAGGTATTTGCTGGTTTGCCCAATGGCCAGCCCAGATCCTCCTTGCAACCACAAAGGGATTGTTTAATTAATTTATAGATCCCCATGCAACTGTACTTGCAGATGTCCCAGCTATATGCATAGAATCCTATTTAATGCTTGTTTCTGGTTGCTATTGAGCAGCACATTATATAGATTAGGCTGGGAAGATTTATGTACAGTGCAAGAGGGGGTGACAAATCCGTTTTCCCTTTTCAAGTTGGATGAGGGACGTCCCTGTACAGAAATGTATTTCTACAGGAGCAGAAGTTAGAAGGGATTTTTTTTTTTAAATATTTGTTTTATATTGCAAAGCAGTGTAAAGGTAAATCAACTGCATCTATACGTGTAGTGGGGTTATTTTCTGAATTTCACAATTTCTAAAGACTAGTAGCTAGTTTAACGTACCATCACACTGGTCCGCACACGGCAATGGGGTTGGAATCATTCCTTTCTGTGAAATTAAGAAGAAATATTTAACTGCGGATTGATTCCTGTCCGAATCAGTATTTTTGTCCCTCTGTGCTATACCTATAATCCTCTACCACTCTTATCATATTGCATTTTATAATGTTTGCTGTTTTACATGTAATGAGAAAAGCAGCAAGAATTACTTCTCTAAATTTTTGTTTACAGAAGTGCTGTCCAACATGTTCTGTACTAAGAGCTGGATTTTGTCAGGATGCATAAGACTAACATATATATTGCACACCTTTACCTTATATGGACACCATAGTTACTAAAACAAATTTAGCTTAATGAAGCCATTTAAGTGTGTAGATCATGCCTCTGCTGTCTCACTGCTCAATTCTCTGCCATTTAGGAGTTTAATCACTTTGTTTATGCACCCTAGTCACACCTACTTGTATGTGAC